TATTGATGTAATATAAATGAGTGCTGAATCTTGCCCTGCCTGCCCCCCAGTATGCTTATTAACAAAACAAGGAAGAACCAATGGAAAAATCAAGAACTGGTATCTTAGGAAATGTATGGGCTAGTCTTCATATATTAACAGGGTCTGATTTCCTCCATAAATTCAGGGGAGTTATCTCTACAAGCCCCTTGTCCCTAAATACTCAGGCCATATCAGCCCCTTGTAAGGATATATCCACTATTCTTGACAGCTGTAATTGGCCGTGTACTAGGGTTTTGCCATAGATGAGTTATTCCTCACAACAATTCTCAAGGAACCACTAAAGTCCGCTTATAAGCCACGTTGCTGAGACTCATACTTGGGATCTATTTGATCCCCAAAGACCTATATTACAGAGCTCTTCAAAATACCTCAATGAAGAGGGGGAAAAAATGCATTGGTTATCTGCAGCAAAGCCCATCTTGAAAGTATAGGAGAGGGGCATCTGGGTGGCTCAGTCGTTAAGCGTCTGCCTTTGGCTCAGGTCATGATTCCAGGGTCCTGGGATGGAGCCCCCCATCGGGCTCCCTGCTCTGCGGGAAGCCTGCTTCTCCCACTCCCCCTGCTTGGGTTCCCTCTCTCGCTGTGTCTCTCTCTGTCAAATAAATAAATAAAATCTTTAAAAAAAAAAAAAAAGAAAGTATAAGAGATAAGCAAAACTTTGTTTACATCTTAATTACTATTATCATGATTTGCCTGTGTCAGAGATATAACGTGTCCTGATGTGTGGCTAGCATGGTTCCTCAGTTTTGTTTTTCTGGAATTTCTGTAGCAAATTTCAGATCATGGCCTAATATACATGGTATGTGCCTCAGGCATGAAGTTAGGCCCTGTAGAAATGTATAGAGACTCTTTATGAGACATTATTTCCTTCACTCTTGATAGAGCAGAGAGAAATTTGTAACCAAAACCATAGTCAGAGAACTAAAAAAACAGTAACTGTTTATAAACCAGTCCATGAATATTCATTCTAATCACTATATAGTAATCAATTAGTATACACAGCAAGAACAATATGAAATCTGAGGCTACAGATTGCAGAACTGAATAAATCATCATTTTTAAGAGATATAACTAAAGATAATATATTTTCCTTTCTGGATGAAAATTCATTTTATGTTCCCTGGTGGAATAAATATAAAGAAGAAATACACAAAAGGCAAAAATTGGACCTAAATGTCCATTCCTACATATACAGGTCAAGAAAAGCATTACTCGCATAATTGGATATTCATTGCCTTGTTTGCTTAAGACTGAAAAACAAAAACGTGAGTTTGCCAAATTTCCTAATGTTTTGTACAGTGCAGTGGGCCTTTAAAAAATACACAGTAATGCATTAATCTAATACTACTACAAAGGTTTAATGATTTTTCTGGTTATTTCCTAAGTTTACCTTTCATAATATCAAGTGGTATATATAATGTGTTTTGGTAGTTTGAGTCACAAGTGTGATGTTTCAGCTAATTGTGGCTAAAAGCAAAATATCAATCAGGATGAAAAGCTTCTAAAAACAAACTAAACTGAAACTATTAAAAATGTAAAAGAGAGTAACCATAGTGATGCTAATTTAAAATGATCACTGATGAAACATTTCTTATAATCAATGTCAGACATCTGTATCTTTTTCAGAACTGTTTTAAGTTATTCATTACTTCATCCCTTAAAGTTTCTGACATCTTTAATGAGAGAACACATAAAAATAATGGTGGTAGTGTGAACAAAACTTAGATGCGATGCTCAACAAACTGCACATGTGTGTATACACACGTGCGTGCGTGTGCATGCAGGCGCACAGGCAGATCCTACTCTAGACCTAAAATGGCTGAGTTGCGGGATGTTGTTGCTTGGTGACCAAACAGTATCTACTCAGCCACAGAGTCATTTAAGCAGTGAGAGATATGTCCCCTCAGCTTTAGGCATGGCCAGGACAAATATTAAGGGGCATGTTTATCTTTTCTAGTATTCTACATTTGCATTTTAAGTTCAGTTGTCACTTTCTTGATTTTGTCATCAATTAAATTCAGATTTTAGGGGAAAGAGTATTTGGAACCCTACCGCTGTCGTTTTAAGAAAATAAGAGGGAGAACCAAGCTTCTTTCAAACTGGAAGATAGTCTGTTTCAATTAAGTCTATGTGGTGTGTCTACTCTGTTCTGCTACGACCTCCCAGTTGCTATCAGTCTCTCTTTCTTTCATTAAACACTAGCAGTTAATTAGCCCCAGCCTGTCCTCTTGCCTTCTCTCTGTCCCTTTTCAAGGTAGTAATGATGTCTAATTACCAGCAGCAGTGGGTCACTGCAACGTCAGGCGCAAATCTCTCTCACTGACAGCAGAGCCAGCCGCAAACCCTCAAACCTCAGACAGCTAGAATGATTCTCAGTCTACTTGAAAATACCAAATACAGTACTTTATTTCAACCAAGATACGCCTTTGACATAAAAATATGTTTCTTGTCTTTCTGGTGGATTGTACTCCCGCTATTATAAAGAAAAGCTTATTTTTAAGGAAGAGATCATTTGAGATGCAGAGAAACACATGATAAAAGGGGAACCTTTTATTTATTTTTTAACTTGTTGAAATGATGATTGGCTGTCTTTCAGGGAAGGCGGAGCCTATAATTCTATGTAAGGAGCAGCAGAAAATTTTCATAAAGAGCAACAGAAGAGTTCATGAATTAAAAACCTCTTCAACATTTCAAAACAGGCTTGCATGAAGAGCAAATCTCTTAAATACTACATGGAAACCACTATCTAAGAACACCACCTGATGAATTACATATTCTCCCATAAATATATGGAATCTTTACTGAAAAGGGAAACATGTGTTACTTTATTGTTAACGCTGGAGTTGTTATTCTACGATGGATGTCTTAGCAATAGTTCTTTAACAAGTCTGCATAAATTTTTGAATGAAAATATGGGTATCTGAACATGCGAATTCTGGTCTGAATTACTAGGCATCCATATTTCTCTTAGTGTCTCTATAGCTGTTACACAATTTATGTTATTTAGAATTTTTAATTAATGTTTTAAAAGGGCACATCTGTTTATACACAAGTGGATGTAACCAAACCCCTGCAAGTATAAACTGGACCAATATATACAAGTGAAGCTATCTGACAGATAAACAGAGGAACCTGATTTTAATATAAAAGGAATGAAAAACAAACTTCCCAGCTAGCAATTGTTTTGAAAAACATATAAAATATTATTTAATAATAATTAGGTAAATATACCTTAAATGACTACTTTATTTATTCAGTTAACCCAGTGGTGCCCAAAAGAAAATACATCCTTATGTTCTGAATTCTAATCTACTTTGTCTAACAAGTTATTTTTAAAAAATCAGGTTAAGTTACTTCCGATACAAATGAATCAAAGCACTTCATTCTCCACAACAGACTTCTGGCTCATCCAGATGTAAATAAACCTCAGTTCTAATCCATAGGCATCTAGTCCTCATTATTTAGTAAAGAAAGACAGTGATCTCACCATTGTCTTTAGCAATGCCACATTAAAAGGGAAGGCTGTGTTTATAGACCTACCTCCTAGAAAATTCCAACAATAGTACTTAAAAAAAAAAAAGCAGAACTTTTATGTGGGTTTCTATTTCACCCTTATTTCCTTTTCCCATTTTCCAGATAAATTCCAAAAGAAATATACTTCCTTCAAACAACTATCCCTGATTAATCTCGGGAAACCATTAACTATTTTCCAAACCTGAAAGAGTCCTCCAAATAGTCCTCTGAAAAACCTTTCATGCACATATTTCCAATTTAATATACCTCCGTTTGAGACAGAAGAATAGCTTGCAAGACATCTCCTTTCTAGCATCCTCCAGGAATACTGCTCGGGGAAACAGTTGCCAGTATGGGGTGGGGGTGGGGGGTTAGGAAAAGGAGCAAATGCTCAAGAAACCTCAAAGCCAGGCAAAAATGCAAAGGATGCCAAATACCCTCCCCCACCCCTACTCCAGGCGAGTACCCACCGTAGCATGACGAAGAAAGAGGTCTTACGGATCTGATCTGCAATCCTACTTGTAGCCCACCGTTCCCATCTTCTTAAAAAGGAAATTGATGCCGCTGCCGCTCCCCGACCTCACAGGCTTCTGCCCTGACAGGCTGAGATACACTGGGTTCTCAGTGCCCAGTACCTTGCTGCGCCTGGGCTGGGAGCTTTGTGGCCGTGAGACTAGAGCTATCCCAGAACGGGGAACAAATACATACACCATTTGATTGCGCTGAAACCCACGTCTCTTTGTTGTTCATCGTGTAGCTGCGGCTTTATTTGTGAAAGGGGGAAGTGAGGAAGGGAATGGGGGGCGGGGAGGAGGAATCCCCAGGACCTTATCTACAATCTAAATAGTCGTGGCAAGATCTCTGGGAGTGATCAAGGCGATGGGATAGCCCGGTGTCTCCCAGGCGGCGGTCTAACAATAAAACCCGATAGTGTCCGGGGGGTGGGAGGGGGGGAACCCCACATCTCCGACCAGCGCCACAATCGGGCTTTGTGCCAATTAGGAGACACTGTAGACGATCGATCAGAATCGTCTATTATCGGAGCGTGCGTCTGGGGTTCCTGCGTGGCCCTTATGCTCGGTGGCGAAAGCGGGACACACGCCAGGCGCCCAGCGAAGGACATGGGACAATGGCCCAACCCGAGGACGCGGGAGGCCGCCCGACGCGGGGATGGAAGCTCCAGGAGCGGGTTCAGGAGCCCGGAGGCTAGGAGGGCGGCGAGCTCTGGAGGTGCGCTGCCGCTTTAAAATAAAGGACCACAAAGACTCCACCGTGGGGGAAACGCGCCCGGCTAAGGCGAGGGGGGACGACTTGGGGAGGGGGTTGAGAAAGGTGGGGGGCACACGAGCCAACGGTGGCTCACGGCTCCCCCTTTCTCCCCCCCTCTCTCCCCTCCCCGCTGGCTGCTCCCGCAGACAAATAACAGAGGAAGGCGAGTCACTCACCGTGGTCTTGACCGGCACGTAAAGCACTTGCTTGGCGCAGCCGCCGCCCCCGCGGACCTCGTCCGGCTGGCCCAGCTGGAAGCCCTTCGATTTGACCCAGAATTTAAATTTGGCGTTGTCCGTGGAGCTCGACTCGGAGCCGTTGAGGAGCTGGACGATCCGCTCGTATTTTTTACGGGTCACCGTCTTGGTCTTGCCTGAGTCCCCGTAAGTCCTGAGGCACCAGTCCTGGAACTGGCGGTACATGTCGCGCTCGCTCTCCATGTTCCCCGCTCCTGGCCGTCGGCCGGATGCTCCCAGCGCACTTCGCACCTGTTCACCCCGGGCTCATGAAAAATGCAGCCCGGGCCACGATGCAGGGACGCGAGGTCCCGGCCGCCGCCGGAGCCTGCCTCGGGTGGGGGTGGGGGTGGGGGGAGGAATGGGGAGAGGGGAGGAGGGTCCGGCTGGGCACCAGCAATCAATGCCCTGTGCTACCAAGTCTCTGGTTCATTCGTAATTGCAACGGATGTCTCAGACGCTTGTCTCGGACGCTTTTCTCGTCCTCTTAGTGATGGGTCTCTTTAATATTGTGTGACTAGGACCATCCCAACAGCATCCGGCCCAGAGGAACTGGGTTTTAAATAATTAAAATCCCATTCCTTGGTTTATTAAAAATCCCAATATTGACTCGGGGTGGTCCCTGGAGCCTCGCCCCGGGGCTGTGTCCGGGGCAGGGCAGGTGCAGCGCTGCGCCGCCTCCCCGCGCGCGCCCCAGAAGCTTCCCCAGCCGCTGGCCCCACCGTCCAGGAAGCGAGGGCTGAGCTGCTCTCGAAAGCAGCGCGGGGCCGAGCGCCTGCGAGCCCCGAGGGGCACCCAGGTCCCCTGGCTCTCCTTCCTCCAGGGTCCCGTTCCGCTTCAGCCTTCCCGGCGTGGGGCGTTCGGGGACTAGAAAGAGAGAAAGTTCTTACCTGTCATGTTGTTAAGCCTATCAAATCCTGCTACACAGGAAATTTTTAAGGTATTTTTAAAATGGTTTAAAATGTCATTTCTTCATATGCAGTTAGGCTAAATTCCAGCCCTGCAGGTAGATTCCAGGAGTTAGGTCCCAGAATTAGCAACATTCATGGATATTTGGCCATAGTTCTATAGGAAAGACTGTGGTACCCCAAACAGATATCCGTTCCAGGGGGATGTGGGTAAACGAAGGCAGGCCGCTGGCGGCGGGTCTCCCGGATAATGATGGGGTCCCCAGACAGGACTTCTCTGGTTTCTGCTGAACTGGGTACAAGGCATAGAAGTAAGTTTATAATACAGATGCTTAAAACCCTTTGCATGAAATTAAAATAGAGATTATTTTCCCCTTGCTTGGTTACAGTTTGCAGTACACATAGGAGGTTTCGTATGTCTATTTTCCCCCTGCCACGTCATGGACACCCCTCCACTGCTCAGAGTAGCCAAATATGAGTTCCTCTGGACGATTTTCTCAAGCAAATGAAATCAGCGGCTCCTCCATTCAGGATTTCCACCCGTTTGTTACAGAGCTGGAAATAGGGGAGTTCCCATCCTCCTCGCGCTGCGATTGCGGCCGCTCCTCTTTATTCTACTCTCTGCGGAGGCCCGCGCCCGTCCCGGGAGGCGGCTCTGCCAGGAAGGCGGCCCGACCAGTGCCCCGCGCCTGGTCCGCGTCCTAGCCCACCTTCGCCCCTCGTCGTCGTCTCCAAGACGAAAGCCCCGAATGGGAACGCGGAGTGTTTGTACCCACTGCGCCGCAGCTGGTCCGGCACTTGCAAAATGGTCAGTGGCTCCCGCTCGGCCAGGCTGAGTGTGTGCGTGTGTGTGAGCAAGGGAGCGAGGGTGTGCGGTGTGCGAGGGGTGCGCTGTGTGTGCGCGCGTCTCCGGGAAGGTCTCGCGGCGGCTGGAGCCGGGACTGACAGCCCGGGCGGAGCGCGAGCAGCTCCACACACTAAACCTCTCGCCTCTCCCCTCACCCCCACCCCTCCCACTCCCCTCTCCTCCCACCCCCCCTCCCCGGCCCCTTCCAAGCTCTCTGATTGGCCAATGGGACAAAAGTTTCTGTGGAGACGGCTGGGCGCTGACGTCACGGGCAGAATTGTCCCATTTAGGGATCCCGGGGGCAGTGCGCATGCTGCAGGCTTCAGGTTAGAGGCAGGAGGAGGTAGCAGCGGGCGCGGCGGCAGCCAGGTGGCGGAAAGGAGCACTCAGCATCCAGGTGGGGGGACGACTCCAGCAGGGTTTCCATGGAGATTCCTCTGGGTCTAGCCTAAAAACAGCAGATCAGCTGACACCATTAGCTCAGGACCTAATTACTGCTTATTGGAGCAACAAATGAGGGAGAGGGCCAGCTGCAAAGGAAGAGTTTTTATCCTCCCCCCCACACACACCCTCCCACCCCGTCTCCTCCTTTCTCCCTTCTCGGTCGCTCTTGAGTCCCGGGTGAATTCTCATTAACTTGCAAGATTGCTGCAACAACAGCTACCCTTCTCTAGAGGCCACCCGGACTGCTTTTATTCTTTTTATTTCTTTATTTTGTATTTAAAAAATGCTAAAATAAATCAGTTGTCCTGAGTCCTTGAATTTTTGCCCAGTAAATATTAGACCAGTAGAGCTCAGAGAGTCCACTGTCTAATAGAAGTCACAAGTGGATCTAATATAAGGGTGGGGGGAGGCAGGGAGGAAAAAAACACCTTAAATGTGTTAAATTAGGTATTTATCTTTAGGCCTTTCACATTTAAAAAATTTTTTCAATATCTTAAACAGATATGTGGAATAAGGAATTGGAAATTTTGAATCACCCTTGTGTGGTATACCTCACAGGAACACTATTACAAGTTTACCTCGTGTCATCAGAGATAGAGGATAATTCCAAGTTGGGAGATCAAGGTTGTGTTGTATGTTAGTTAAATGTTTCCTAGAGGATTCTGGAAGTATAGCTGATCCTAGAGTGGTCAATTCATTCAAGAGTAAGCTGGTTCTATAGAGTTCACTTTCTCTTATGGTTATAACAATTCACAATTTCTGGATTCTTTTTGGTAACTCTTTCATCTGAAGAGTCATCTCATCTCCTCTAAGTCTCATTCAAGTACTTTCAGACCTGTAAAGCTTTCTTTCCTTGACTACTCAAGTTAAAACAGTCTGTGTCTCTAAACTCCTCCGGGTAAGTGTCTTTCAACCATTTTTTTTCAACTTGTCTCATAGTAAGACATATACATTACATTGACACACAGTGCATTCATACATCTATCCTCCAAAAATATTATGAGAAAACATATTTTATTATATGGAATACACACTGATAGTTACCTGATCTTCTCCTATTATTATCATTACTATTTGGTAAAGTGTAGTCCTAACCCAATAAATTTATGAAGCAGCAAAGGATGCCTGGCAACCTATAGTCTGGAAAATACTGTTTTAGATTATATGAACTACACCACTCCTTGTACTATATTTATAGTTTCACATGAGTACGTTTGACTGTTCAAATAGAATTTTGATTGGAAGACCCTTGAGAGTTTATATTTACTTGTTTAAGTAACTTCACCACAATGAACAATGCCCACAGTAAGTGCTTCATAAATAGATACCAAGTTATTAATAAAGAGAAGAGAAAGAGAAGAAAGGAAGAAATAAGCAGGAGGCACAATCCTTAGCAATTCCTGTTGGCTTTTGCTGGATGGTATTTGGATGAAGTTGGTTCCCACTTAAAGACAGACCAAGGCCTTACCATGTACTGTGTTCGTTATATTTATGATTATACTTGGCATTCTAATGTATGGAAATTAAAACACTTTAGACATAACTCATAGGATGAGAGCAAATATGTCACCAACCCCCAGCTATATTAACCGGATTTGGTATACAAGCAAAAAAACAAAAAACAAAAACAAAACAAAACAAACAAACAAAAAAACCCACACACAAATTAAGCAATTATAAAGATTTTTTTTTTAAAGGAAAAGGTAAATAATTCACTATTGAAAGAATATTCTCACTGGACTAAAAAAATAAAGTCCCAGGACTGTAAGGGTCAAGCTTCTCAGAGCCATGAAGATTCTCTTGCCTCCAATGGAACCTAAAGTGTGTTCTGTTCTCTATTTATTCTCTTTATTAATTATGCAATCTAAATCAACATTTTTTTTACCCTATCTTTCCTACTTAAAAGCATAAGCACCTGACAAAAATCTAAAATCTGCTTCAGCAACTCACCCTAGACTCATTTCTCTCCTTTTTATTTTTCTAGAGCCAGGTCTTCCCAGCTCCACCTGGAGGGTCATATTGACCCTTTCCTTCAGCTATATGATTAACTTGACAGGCTGCGTGGAATTTAATTTGGCATTTCCCCCAAGACACTTTTTCAGATTTACCTCTCTAAGAGCATATCTCCCCAAAAAGTGACTCTTCACCCCCAGATGTGAGCACCAACTCCTAACCCCTGCCCAGGGTCCTGCCTGCTATTTATGGGGAGAAGAAATCAGAAAGTATTGTATCAGAAAATAATATTTTAATTAAAGATAATGTAAATTTTCAGCTATAATCAACATGATTTTGTTATGAAAGTAAAATCTCTTCCAACCTCAGGGTCAGTTTGGGTATGACAATTTGAAAAATCTGGAAACTCATATTTTAATATCAATCACAAATATTTATGCAACACCACATATTCATCAGCAAAATGTTATAGTCCAAACAACATATAATCTGTAATCATAAAATAAATGTTCAAAGAATAAAAAAGGCTTCATCATGTAATTATGCTTTTATTCAACAAATATTTACTGAGTGCCAATTACTTGGATAGGCTTTAAGGTTCAAGTAGTCAACAAGACATGTATATATACATTGTACTCATCTAATGGAGCTTAAATTTTTCTCAGGAAAACACAATAAACAAGGAAGAAAATAGCACTTGAAGTGAAAGCTAAGAGGGGAAAAATGGTGCCGTAATAGAAAACAGTGGCAGAGTCGGGGGACTTCGTAATTCAGGGAAGATCTCTGAGTACGTGACATTTATCATGAGACCTCAAGAATACAAAGGGATCAACCATCTGAAGAGCCAGGAAGGGAAACTACAGGCACAGCACAAAAGTCCTACGGCAAGAGTTATTGGCACGTTTGAGGAATAGAAAGAAGCCAGTCCAAGTGGAGCTTACTGAGCGTGGAAGGGAGAGTACGGGAATGGAGGTCTGATAGTCTTCTGTGGCCAGATCTTGTAGGACAGTGCTTGCCATGATAAAGAGTTTGCATTCTATTATTGATCCAGC